TTGACACATTTGGATTTTTTGGGGAAAAGTTCATTTTTCGTGGTCTCTGGGTCTTCTCTCCATTTTTTAAAAAAGTGTAATCGTTTCTTTGAATTAAAATACACTCAAATAACGTTTCAAAATCATGGAGAGAAGACCCAGACATAGAAAATTTTTAGAAAAATGTGTTTCAAAATGTACAATTTTGTACCAAATGTCTGATATGGCCAATTTTCAAGTTATTTTTTTAGCAAATCAAAGCTCAATTTTGGGAAAATATTTTCCGTTCCTGTTGCACAGGAACCCGATAAATTAAAAAAATGTTAAAATTTCATGTGGCATGTCAATAAAATTTTCACTTTTCAATTACGCCCAGGTTCCTGCCGAATGCCAATCAAAAGCGCCCTCGTTCTTTTTGTACTTGATGCTATATGAATATAATCCCATTTACTATATTCAGTTTCTATTAGCTTTTATGTTATCACATATATACTATATGTATAAACAAACATATAAATATTATAATCTTTACATGAAACTTCGTTGAGTTCTTTTTTCCCACTGCATGCGCAAATATTAAAACAGAATTTTTATTGTTAGAAAATCGATGGGAGACTATGTATGTTGAGTTCAGTATTAATATTTTTAAATTGCTATATGGCCATGTATCCTTAGCAATTCAAATTTTCAAAACATTTTAATGTTCTATGATTTTGAAATAATTCTATATTTACAAAAGTGAAATACTGTTCATTTATATTTTACTATTTTAGAAAATTGTAAAATCAAAAACATGGATAAAGTTTTGATTTAAAAAATGGATTTTTGAATGAAAATTTTTAAATTCAAAAAAAAATTTTTTTTTTAGTTTTAACTTAAGGTTCTACGAAATAATGTTTTCCGTATTCTCTACTTTGATATAAAAACTGTTTGAGTCTAACTTCTATATAAGTTCCTTGACCTTATTCCTTGATAGGTCTTCACTTACTTTTTTTTGTTAACATGACTTCAGCCAGATTTGAGAAGCAAGACATCTACATGACCTAGTTCAAGGCCTGGGCTATATCCTTTAGTTTAGGTCAAGGTAGTGTAACACGACCTAGAAAAGAATCGAGACTTCTGGCATTAAAATGACCTAACGTCAACTTCAGCACAGGATGAAAAGCCAGGTTTCCCAAATTTGGAAACCCGATGGAAACATATGGGAATCGTGACATCAGTAGTTTCCATATAGTTTCCATTTTATGGAAACCACATAGTGGTTTCCACATAGATTCCCGACATGGAAACAATCAAACTGTGGTTTTCCGTAAGTTTCCCAAGATAGGAAACCATGGAAACATGCCCTGGTGGTTTCCATGTAGATTCCCGACATGGAAATATCCAACCTGTGGTTTCCCGTTAGTTTCCCAAGATAGGAAACCATGGCAACATGCCCTGGTGGTTTCCATGTAGATTCCCGACATGGAAACAACCAACCTGTGGTTTCCCGTTAGTTTCCCAAGATAGGAAACCATGGAAACATGCCTCAGTGGTTTCCATATAGATTCCCGACATGGAAGCCACCAATGTGTAGTTTCCCCCATGTTTCCAAGGTAGAGAAACTTTGAAAGTATATCTCAATGCTAACCCAACTACTTTTTATTTTACAAAAAGTTAAATATTTTCTGATGTTACCATAATATGCTTACCAATTACAGAAATATTTCAAAAGTGTTTACATGCTGTATCAAAATAATTAACTTCCCTTCAAACAGTTAAAATAACTAGATGTGTATTTCTGCGTGATAAAATTTAATATTTCAGCACCGTGAACGCAATTTAATATTAAAAATTTATCAAATAAGTTTTGGTAAACTCGTATAGAATTCATGAAATGGAATAGAGAAAATTAAGTGCAGTTATGTAGATATCAATCATTTCCGATCCCATTTTCTTGTAAGCTGTCTATGTTGAATGTTCCTTTGAAAAAAATGCAAGAGCGAAGGGCACCTTTAATGATATTATTTACAGAAAAGGTAAAAAAGATCGATAAAAAAAGTAAATAAAGAAATATGTCAAGTTGCGATTATATAAAATGTAGTGATTAAGGACAGATGAGACGTTCCTCAATAATATAATTATAATTTTTTCCAATATTTTGACATTGAAGACTTACTTTTTTTACATTATAACATGTATTCACAAAAACTCAAGGTACCTTACAAGGCATTTTGTGTGAGATACCAGAGGTTGGCATATCTTATATACCGGGGTAATCTTTCAGGAAAAAATTCTTCAGTTGGTTTGTCACAATTACATTTTTAGTGTTTCAAATTATTAAAATCCAGTTTAGAAAGTAATAAAGATTTTTATACAAATTTATTATACATTAATATGAAGATTCACAAAACAGATACTTAATGGGAAACGTATCGTCTGACCTTAAAAAAAAAACAAAATATAGAAGAGTAAGTATGGTTACATAGAGATCAATGTAAACTGGTCAGATAAAATCCATCGAATTGGTTGGGGGCTGAGTATTATCATACTAGTATTTTACTTTAGTAAGATTGTTTTTTTTTTTAAATTTAATAGATTATTATTATTATTGGGGGTGTTTGGATTGCTTTTCATTTTTTCTTAGAGAAGCCCCCCCCCCCCCCCCTCAAAAAAAAATAAAACCACACTTGAAAAAATCACTATAGTCGGCCTGTGTAATAACTACGGGCACCTGTCCTCACGTGCCATATCAGGTGGAGACACGTGCCGCGAAGACACCTGTCACTGTGTATTTTTTGTATATTCTATGTGAATTGAGACGGTTTTCTACCTAAAGGGAACAATGGGCTGTTGTCGAGCATGTACACACAGCCTCCGACCGAAAATTCGTTTGAATTAAGATGACGATTTGTGTTTTTTTATCAATTAAAAAACTGTATATTTCATAAATAAAGTTATACAAGAGAACATATTTATAAAATAACATACATTTATTTTAAGATGTTCAATGAAAGAACGAACTATTTAGAATTTTTATTTCAAAATTCATTACTGATTTGAAAAAACTATGCTCTTTAGAAATTAAATAATTTTCTATAGGTATTGATTAGATCTAAATTCTCGTCGTGTATAATTATATTAAATCAGAATTACTTAATAGATCAATGTGAAATCAACACTGTATTTAATAGTCTTGATGAGTTTTTGTGTGAAATTTGTAATCCAACGTACTATACAAAGGCATTTATTAAATAATGTTATAATATTCATTACATAAAACATTTTTTTTCTTTTTCGTTTATATGTACGCAGACCCCGTATAGTAAACGTCTGCACTTTTCGCATAAAATTACAATGTAGGGTCCTAAATGCACATATGATCATGCACATATATTTAACAAACTTTAAAAATTTCAGCCATTCTTTTCTCCAAAGGCCATTTCTATAGATAAAGAAAAGTCTATAATATTTTGCTTCATTTTGTTTTCCTGAAGAACAACGGCTTTTAAAGTAGTGGATGCTAACTTGAGGCAATCTATTATAAGAATTAATTGTATAATTGTCACGATTGTATTTTTGTGCAGTTTTTGTTGATTTCATTATATAAAGGTATGAAGTTTGTCAATACTTCAACAAACATTAATTTTCTTTATCTAAATTGTACATTACTTTATTTTTATTCCCGACATGCTACTCTTTTTAAAAAAGATGCGTGACATTCTTAAATTTGACTAATAGACTCGAACTTCAGGCCTGTAGGAAAGTAATTTCCGTTAGGGTAATAAACTTACCGGGATTTTTTTTTTTACTAGCATAAAAAAAAAAACATTAAAAGAAATACAGGGCGGGACCAGCTAAAGCATGATTTCTTAACGAAAATCCTAATTCATTTAACAATTTTACGTGTTAAATATGATGTGGGAAATATTTTTTAGCTAAAGGCAAAGAAGTTTCAAGTACAATTTTTTACGTGTTAAAATGAGGCCTACATGGCAAAGCAAATAGAGAAACGTCTAGAAGGTCCACCAGTAATAATACAGTATATTGATAGCAGGCTCAAAATCTAATTAAAACCAGAAAAGGAGGGAGTTCTAGTAGTATTTTAATCCCCCAAAAAATTATAAGCAATTAATTATTAAACACCGAACTTTTCAATCATCACTATTGAAATAAAAAAAAATAAGGACGGTTATTGTTAATTATACATGTATTATAATTGTAACTCATTTTCATGCCTTTAAGGACTCCTGTGGAACGTTCGCAATAAAAAAAAAATGTACTTTTAAAGGTTTAACATCTTTTGATGTGACATTATAAATTCATAATTATAACAGTTAAAAGTAGCGGGGAAGGGGGGGGGGGGGGGTACTTTCAGCTAGGACGGCCACTACCAACAACCAAGCCCCGAAACCCTCATCCCGAAGGCAAATAAGTTGAGGTGTCACGCAAGAAACATAATTTTTCTCTGCTCTCACGTATTTAACCGCTTTTTATCTAAATATACTAGGCCTACACATCATATCGACAAAAAATATTTTAATAGGAGCCCCTTTTTTATTCCATGAACAGGGGAAAACTTCTAAATTCTAATATAAAATCTCATAATCACACATAATCATAGTGAATGTAAACAGTTTATTTTCCCATCCTGCATCGCTCTGCAGGCGCTTTATTTCATTGGTCAATTTCCCGAGGCGCCATTTTTGGAGGATCGAGAAGGACGAAGAAGAAGGTGTAAGCAGGTCGTAATTGTGAAAAGTTGATGTTTTCACCACCCAGTGTCTTTAAGACTGTGATAAATGCAATGACCAACGACCAAGGATTAATGTACGTATATTTTTGTTAACTTTTTACGGCAAATAATAGTAATATTTGGCAACAACAAATCTTCACTATCGGAGGCAACTTTAGTTCTGACGCCATTTTAAAAAGTTGGATATCTAAGTTTTAAATTGTTAAGTGCATATATTGAGAGAGAGAGAGAGAGAGAGAGAGAGAGAGAGAGGGAGAGAGAGAGAGAGAGAGAGAGATTTGAGACAGTGATACAACATAACTTAAATAGATTATAGAGGTCCCAAGGCACCGTATGTTGTAAAATGGCAACGTTTCGCCTTTCACCATGTTTATTAAAATGTATGCTCAATATGTATGTTCTCTCTCTAAATATAAATGAATACTTTTCGGATTTAAACAAAAATATATTTTTAACCCCGCTCAAATTATCCGGATGATAATAGTTATACCGAGCATGGTTTCGTAGTTAAATTCAGACTGTAGTACATCCGGTTTGAATACATACATGTGTTTTCTTCTGACTTTCCGTTTTCGGATAGCCAACTCTTTTGATTTTTGGAACTTATGACTTATGGCAAGGTATGAATGAAATACTTTTGGTTCAAAACCTTGATAAAAGCATCAATATTTTTACAAAAAGTGTCTTCAATCTCAGCTTATCCGATTATCATGAAGGATATCATCATTCAGAACAGTTGGAATAGATTGTAGCCAATACTGTAGCATAACCCTTAATCATATGCATGATGATGATATGGAGGGAAAATATACATAAAAAAGTGAATGTAGGTGAAAGCCTGTCCACTTCTCTGAAGAGAATAGGTTTGTTTATTGAAATAGTTTACTGCTCAAAAGATTTTTTTGTACTGTCTAACCTGCTGAGATGAAGATGTAAAAAAAGAAAATTAAGCCTTCATAGTGAATTAATATTGATAGTATGTTTCAAAATGCTTATTACAAACTTGGTAATAAAATACAGAACACTTTAAAGCTGAATAGGATTCGTAAAAGGAATCTGTCTGCCATTTTTGTTCCCAAGTCAATCTTCTCTGCAGACCGCTATAAATAGGGCAGCAGTTGGTCACTGTTCAGTGTAATCAGTCTACACTGGTGAAGACGGACGTATGCTATACAGAAGAACTCGGTAGCGAGAGTAATAACGTAATACTTCATCTAATGCAGGAAAATAAGATACCAAATAAGTTTATAACAATTATAGTTTTATAAGTCAGTAAAATATACAAAAAACACAGGTAAACGTAACTGCAATAAAATGTAAAAAAAAAAGGTAATGCAAGATAACCAGCACGATCACGGGTTGCTATTCCACGCCAATACCCGTGACAATAAAGCAGTCAGGTGTAACGATTGCAACGAGTATACCCTAGTATTGATGTATCGTAGATAATGCTATCGAAAATGGCGTATGCCTATTTACGAGTTGTGTTCAGCTTTAAGTTGAGAAGAAAATAAGTAAATAATCAAGCACAATTAAACTACTTACATACATCTACAGTGTACATGGTATTGTCTAACTGAACAGACTTAGCTTTCATAAAAAATAACATGCTTCTAATCTTATATCTGAATATAATTATAAGTTTATAACATACGCCACATTCTACATAACTGTGGTGCAGGCAAACAATGAGTCGAGCACAATATCATATTCTGCTGGTGAGCTATTGCATTAGATTAAATATTTTGAAAAAAAGACTTGTATGAAAAAGTGAATTAGTGATGGTTGTCTTGACATAGGAGAAGTAGAATGGTACAAACTAGTTGATGCTCATTTGTTTGAAATTTTTATACGCCTGAATTGATAGATTCAGCACGTGTATTGATTTTGTCCTTTCTGTCTGTTGTCAACTTGAACCATTGCCATGACTTTTGAACTGTGAGAGATAGAGACTTCATATTTGGTATGCATACTACGATAATTAAGTTCTTTGAAATGCAACAAGGTCAATGACCTTGTGACTTTGACTGTAATTATATGTTAAAATAGCTTTTTCGAACTTTTGCCATAACTGTTTATCTCAGTGTCTGTCTGTTGTCAACTTAAACCTTCACCATAACTTTAGAACTATATGAGATAGTGACATCATATTTAGTTTGCATACTCCACTTATGAAGTGCTTTCACATGACAACAAGGACAATGATTATGTGATCTTGACTGTGACCTATATGCTAAAAAAATTGCTTTTTCGAAACTTTGTTGCCGCCGGGCACATAGTGTTTTACAAGCGCGTCTTGTTTTTTTTTTTTTTTTTTGCCCATCCCTGTTGTTGCTAATGCTATTACATAATTAGTTTAAATTAGAATGCAATAGTACCTTAACATAATTTATCATTTCAGAGAGAAGAAAACTGCATGACTTTAAAAGAAAACCAGTGAGATAAAATCATATAAAATGTATGATGATTCAGGATGTGGTCATTTGGTAAGTGGTAATTAAATCATGATTGGTATGTATAACAATTGCCTGAAAAAAAAATCTAAATTTTAAATACTGAGCTGTGGTTTATCAGCTGTGAGCTACAAGAAGTTTTATGTAAAAGCTAGGGCTGAAACAATTTGCCCCCCTCCATGTTATGTATGTATTGTCGTGATTGACATACAATCAGTTCTCTAATACATACACTACAGTAAAACTTTGTCATCTCGAACCTGAATTGAAGAGGAAAAAACTTTGAGATCTCTCAAAAAATTTGAATGAAAAAGAGGAAATGTTATTAACTGATTTCTTGCTGGTCAGTATTTTGATGACTTTAAGGAAGCTCTAAAAACTGCTCACTAAAGAGCTCTACTTTGATATTGGGTAGTTTTATGCAGTTAGAGTGATCTGCCCTTGGATTGAGATTAAGAAAAATTTTATTTTACAGTCAGTTTGATTACTTGTAAGAGATTAAATTATTTTTAGCATTATCTAAAATCATAAAGAAATTTTTTGATTTTTTTCATAAAATTTCCAAATGTATTAAGTAAACAGCAATGATTTCTGCTCACAAATAGTCCATTGTATTTGAAAATGTCTTGGGGAAATGATGCACATACGATATGTTCTAAATGAATAAAAAAGGCTCATTATGCACATCTTTATATGATAGATTTTTTTCTCTCCAAAGATTAATTTCTGCAAGTCTGACACTAAGTTTTTAGAGTTTCCTCAATTTTTTAGATACATGTATTCAATGAAATTATTTGAAGTATTAAATTTTGGTAAATCTTATGATAGTAAAAGGTTATGTGGTTGAAAACAGACCTGGGGTAATGGTAATGTGTAATGGTAATGCATTGTAATCATTACATTTTTTCAAAGTAATGGGGTGCAATGTGTAATGGACCCATCTTTCAATTACAAGCAATTGTAATTTATAGTTTAGTTGAAAATACTTTAAAAAACAGCATGCATGCATGACAATAGGGCTTAAATTTTTAATGTCTCTTAATTTTTCAGTGACATTAAAACAGGAATTGTCATCACCAATAGACAAATTTCACATTGCTAAGAGTAATGTCTCCAATTGTCGGTGTATCACTCATTTTTCTCACTTTGTCCTTTGTAAGTTGCTTGTATTTTTTCAATCTTCAAACGATATTGGGCAATTACGATCTGTATCTGTATGGCCAGAGTATGGGGTAACATGAAAATCATAATGAACATGTTCATACAGATTTCACTTCCAAGATATTGACCCTCAAAGTTGGTACGGTTATATAGAGGGAAAACAGCGTCTTAAGCCGATTGACCCCAGATTGACCCTGCAAAGGGGAATAACTTTTGTAAATGTGAAAGTTGTCTATGGTATATCATAGAGATCTAAAACTGACTGAATTTTGATCCACCAATTCATGAACATGATGAGTGGATGTAAATAATGTTGGTCAATTTTTGTAAAAAAAAAAATTTAAATTACTTGTTTATAAACCGAGTGTACATGCAATACTGGCATAAAATTACTCATAAGATACATGTATACTTACACCATGATAAAAGCATATGTGTCCAATGCAGCATATGATAAATCATTAACATACAAGTACATGTATATCCATACTGTAATACATATATATTGCATTGTTTTTAGAGACCTGTTCTGTGGATGCCCTTAGACAGTGTATCTACCCATCACGCCATCTGATATCACTTGTTCTGAGCATATTTATCTCTCAAACTTAAACTACAGAGAGCCTGTGGATAGAGGATGAAGAGCGACCTTGGACTAATGTTCTAGGTCAAAGGTCAGTATCAAAATGTACTGTATATCTTAATCAAAGTTGTAGTCCAGAGTATATTTCTCCCTTGGTGTAATCTAGCTTTTATGCAATTGGTGTGGAGGGTCTGCAATGATCTTCAACCAATTTTTTAGGTCAAATATCAAAAATTAAAAAAATTCTCTCTCTATTAATAATTTTGTTATTATAAAGAGTATATTTTCTCTCAAACTAATTCAACTTAAAGCAGGGTTCTATGAAATTGTAATATATTCTCAATGACATAATGAGGCTGAAAACATTATTTATATTATGTAAAAAAATTTTCCTTATCATAAAGCATTAAATTTTAAAGAGACACATTAAATGCTGAAATCATATGTATCATGGTCATGGAAAGTAATTATTGATATTGGTATATTAAAGAACATTGACTGATCTTTCAGATTTCTAAGTTATATTCAAGCATTATAATTCTGACACATCATATGATAATTTTGTATGAATATTGCAGATCATAGGTGATGTGAAGGAAATACCAGGGAACTGATGTTGAAAGAAGTACTTAATGACGCTTATGAATGGACTTAAATGTGAAAGACTGTTCCATTGTTTATCTAAGATATATGAATTTATTTAGTATTTTGATATCATTGAAAAATACTGTTACAGTTTTTGTACATCAAATGAATTATTAAACATATACAAGAGGCCCACGGGCCTTATAGGTCACCTGAGCATTATGCAACAACTTTCCAGTTACAGTGTATTGAATTTGATTCAATAACATGTTTTAAGCCAGGTGCTAAATGGCATTCACAATTTTGAAAGAGCACCATTGATCATCATAACAATAAACTTAGCAGTCGCTTAGCTTGGTTACTGAATACCCATATGCAGGGTAGGGGAACAAAAATGCACTCCAACTAATCAGTAATATTCATCAATAATCAGTAGTGCCCCTAACACTCTGACATAAACCCCTGACCCTAGGTTGCACAAATTTTTAAAAGGCACCCTTAAAATTGCCTATCAAAAAGTAAATAAATGTTTTATAAATACAAAGGACCAGATTTCAAACAATTAATTCATTTCCAGTATATAAGTATAGAGCCCCCCCCCCCCCACCACTGACCCTGGGGCCTTGAAATTCACAATTCTGCAAGATTATGGCCCTTGCTCATCATAACTATATAGGTAGTTTATCTGCTTCATACCCAGAGACAGAGAAGAAAATTTTCAAAGATTTAATGTATTTTCACTATATAATCAATAGAGCCCCACCCTAACACCAGAACCCCTGACCCTGGGGCCATAAAATTCACAATTTTGGTAGAGGCACTCTTGCTCATCATAACTATGCACTTAGTTGGTTTAATACCTAGGAGCAGAGAAGAAGATTTTCAAAGAATTCATGTAATTTCACTATATAATCAATAGAGCCCCCCCCCCCCCCAACACCAGAACCCTTGATGATAGGGCCATTAAATTCACAATTTTGGTTGAGGCACACTTGCTCATCATGACTATGCACTTAGTTAGTTTATATAATACCTAAGAGCAGAGAAGAAGATTTTCAAGGAATTCACATATTTTCACTATATAATCAATAGAGCCCCCCCCCCCCCACCAGAACCCTTGACCCTGGGGCCATAAAATTCACAATCTTAGTTGAGGAACACTTGCTTATCATCACTATGTACTTAGTTAGTTTATTTGATACCTAGGAGCAGAGAAGAAGATTTTCAAAGAATTCATGTATTTTTACTTTATAAACAATAAAGTACCCCCCCCCCCACCAGAACCATTGATGCTGGGGCCATAAATTCACAATTTTTGTAGAGGCACTCTTGCTCATCATAACTATGCACTTAGTTAGTTTATTTAATACCTAGGAGCAGAGAAGAAGATTTTCAAATAATTCATGTAATTTCACTATATAATCAATAGAGTCCCCCCCCAACACCAGAACCCTTGACCCTGGGGCCATAAAATTCACAATTTTGGTAGAGGCACTCTTGCTCATCATAACTATTTACTTACTTGGTTTATTTAATACCCAGGGGCAGAGAAGAAGATTTTCAAAGAAATCATGTATTTTTACTATATAATCAATAGAGCCCCACCCTAACACCAGAACCCCTGACCCTGGGGCCATAAAATTCACAATTTTGGTAGAGGCACTCTTGCTCATCATAACTATGTACTTAGTTGGTTTATTTAATACCCAGGAGCAGAGAAGAAGATTTTCAAAGAAATAATGCATTTTCACTATATACTTATTTAGCCCCGCCCTAGCACTAGAACCCCTGACCCCAGGGTCATGAATTTCACAATTTTGGTAGAGGACTCAATGCTGATTACAATCATGCAAATAGTTTGACTGCTTGATGTCCAGGAGTAAAGAAGAAGATTTTTAAAGATTGCATTAATTTTAGTGCTTTTGGCCCCACCCTTCAGACCCCAGGGGTGCAGGGATCATGAAATTCACAATTTTTGTTCCCCTTCACCCATAGATGCTTTGTGCCAAATTTGGTTGAAATTGGTTCAGTGGTTGCAGAGAAGAAGCTGAAAATGTTCAAATGTTAACACACGACGCACGACGGACGACGACGGACGAAAACGGATAGCAATAGGTCACCTGAGGTTACTCAGGTGACCTAAAAATGGTAATGCTTTTTTTCTCTTACATTTAATAATTTTTTTGATAGATTTTTGAAAGAATACACATAATTTCACATCGCTTCCTTAAGAAAAGTTGGGGAATCTTGAAGTTTCCCAGTAACTTCAACCAGGAATGGGACTGCAGATAATTCCACCAAGTTTCCGCCGCACAGAAACTGCTATACAAGTTCCATATAGTTTCCTGAGTCAAGGAAACTTTAGGAATCGTAAGGTTTCACGAGGTTCCATATAGTTTCCCGTAATAGGAAACCTTAAGATTCCATCAAGTTTCCATTCCACGGAAACCACTACACTCCGATTCCCTGTGGTTTCCTGAGTCACGGAAACTTTAGAAATCATGAGGTTTCCCAAGCTTCCATGTAGTTTCCTTAAAAAGGAAACCTTAAGATTCCACCAAGTTTCCATCCCACGGAAACCACTACGCTCCGATTCCATATGTTTTCCTGAGTCACGGAAACTACAGGAATGGTGAGGTTTCCCGAGCTTCCATGTAGTTTCCCGTAAAAGGAAACCTAAAGATTCCACCAAGTTTCCATTCCACGGAAACCCCCTACGCTCCCATTCCATCAAGTTTCCTGATTCTGGAAACCAGTGGAATCTTTAGGTTTCCCATTACGGGAAACTACATGGATGTTCGGGAAACTTCAGGTTTACAGAGGTTTCCGTGGTTCGGGATACCTTATGGAATCGGAGCGTAGGGGGTTTCCGTGTCACGGAAACTTGGAGGAATAACCTGGCATCCACTGTGGAAACCACTGGGAAACATGATGTAAACTTGAGGTTTCCATGTTGTTTCCATAAAGTTTCCCATGATGGGAAACCACTTTTTTCACCCAGTGCAGGTCAATGTTATGACCTTGTCCTTGTTTAAGGAGGTCATGGTTATGACCTAGATCTCCTAGGATTAGGTCAAGGTCATGGCTTAATCCGGTTTTTTAAATATTAGGTCAAGGTCATGATCTTGACATAGTTCTCGGACTGTGTAGAGTCAAGGTCATGACCTAGGACATAATTCTCTGGAGTGTGAAGTCAAGGTCATGACCTAGATGTTATGGAATTAGGTGAAGGTCATGACCTTGACCTCATTTCCTTGAGTGTATTGAGTGTTAAGTATACCCCTGCTGATAACAATGTATTTGGGACACCCCCCCCCCAAAAAAAAAAAAGAAGAAGAGAAAATGTAAGATATTGAAGTCCTAGTTCTTAAATCGTTTCCAAGATATCTATACGTAATGATGTTTAAATGAATTTTCTTTGCTTTACCCTTAATTTCTCCATTTCTGATATTTTAATTTTTTTTTTTTAAGGTGTTGTCTTAGCCAAAGAATTACCAGATTCACCCTACACAGAGGTGAAACTACTTAAAAAAGGGATCGATTTAGGCACCATCCAACCTCAAATGTCATTCCGGCAGCTGGATTTAGTAGAGAGAAAAGTGAATACCTGTTTAAATTTATCCGACCATTTGTCAGGGTCTCGTACAAGGACGCCGTCGCTCCTTCTCCTGACGCCCAGGAAGAGTAACTAATGTGACAATCGACAAATTTATCAACGAATGTTAAATGACCATTGAATAACAATTAAATATAATTGTGAAAATAAAAATTTAAACTTGTGAAAGTGTTCACATTAACATTACTGTCTGCATCCATCAGGTGAAAAAATATGGTTTATTATTCAATAGGTGTCCTGTTTTCTTATCAATATTTTATAGCAACGTCATAAATTATTCGACGTTATCCCCTAACCTTATCCCATGACGTTAATGCTAGTTTAAGCGAGTTTCATGGGGATTTAGTATGAAATTATTGTTTTTATACCCCCCGCTTGAAAAGCGAGAGGGTATATAGTAATCGTTATGTCCGTCCGTCCGTCTGTTACGCTTTGGGGTACCCATCTCTTCTCCGCAACTTCTCTCATACCACTGAATGAAATTTGATGAAACTTTCACAGAATCTTTATTACATATTGCCATTCTGCACCTCCTATTTTACTTTTTGATCTGACTCATATTTTGGGTTATGGACACTCCCATTATATTCATATGGGAGGCGGGGGTATCATTTAGTGAGCTCATAGCTCACAGTACCTATAGGTCCTATTTAAATCAATGAAAATTAGGAAAAGTGTTTTTTTTTTTATTTTTAGCCTGGTTTTTGCTTTGACGGTCATCATATACCGTTGCACCACAGTGACGCACTCTAACGCATATGAGCCCCTTGGGGATCCGGGTTAGAATAGGTCAACCCTCAGGCTGACC